TCTGTGCTTGTTCCCCACTGCTTCAAAAGGGCTTGTGAACCACAGGGAAAAGTACAAACTGATTCCTTCTTATCTATAGGTGCCCTGGGGCCTTTGGTCTGTTGTCTTCATACTCAGGACAGCAGGTCGTGAGTCTAGTGAGTTACAAGACCTCTGCCTGGACCAAGGCACAGTCAGCCCCCTGCCCACACTGTCTAAAAATGCGCAGCATCTGCATCAACGGGAGTCCTCTGGGACATCATGCCTGAATCACGAGGGACGCTGAGTGATTAGGAAAAGAATGTACTCTCTTACAACAGGGCATCCTCCTTGGGACAGTAATTCATCCCAGGGTACTCATCCACACATCTCTCCCAGGCCTGACACATGTTAGTTCTGCAATAAATGTTTGTTGAGCTTCATATACCAATGCTTGCAAGACTTACATTCAGCATGTAGAATGGTAGTATTTGTGTACACATTCACCTCACCTAATCTTAATTATGAAATTTCATCTTTCGGTGGTATATAAAATACAAATCTGGAAAACCTAAAACCATAACAAAACTACAGTGGCCTAATTATTCAATTTTTTCTTGAACTGCGATCTGGCTCTCTCAAATGAACACCATTTTGTCACCTAAAAACATTGTTTTGGGTAATACTTTGTGTATAGCAAGATGAACATAAGAGTGAGTTTGCTTGCTGAGTAGAACATTCCTGAAAGACATATAATTGTTCTTATTTCCTGATCAAGCAAGACCACCAAAAGCCGAACCTCTTTTTGAGCATTTCTTTTGTACTAAGTTGCTAGGTGTTTTCACGTAACTTGTTTCATTTAATCCGTACAACTACCCTAAAAAACATCATTGTGACCTTTATATTTTTCAAGATGAAACTTAGGCTGGGAAAGGGTCAGTAATTTTTTTTTCTCTTTTATGTTCCAATGCCTATACTATTTTAATTCTATGGGGAAATAGAGGGATGTTTTTGCTACTAATAAGTGGAACAACATTTAACAAAGATTTATATTTGTTTGTTTTTCATTAATACTTGACTGAAATGGTGGGTTATCCCTTTGAAAAAAGGTGTTCTGGGAGGTTATATTTATGCACACATACCTTCATTCACTGGAGGAAAGAGAATCTCTCGGTCAACCCCTCCTCTATTCTTCTCGTGTTGGACGATACATCTGTGTTCTTTATCCATTGACCTTCCCGTCACGGTCAGCCAGCTGAATTTCATGTATGTGTCTTTAGTCTTCATGGTTTTTCCCTCCTGGGATTGCAGAATGGTATTGCCGTTCTTTTCTTTCCAATATACATTTATAACATCTGGGAAAAAATTCTCAAGAAGACAAAGACATGTTCCAGCCTTATGGAGGTTTATTTCAGCAACTGAAGGAAGGAAAATGGTGGGCTTGGGGGAAATGTCTGCAGGAAGTCTTCTACCTGTGGGAGAAAATGGAATAGTAATTGAACAGAATCGCTAGGGAAGCACAAGGATTGTGTGGTCTGGAACAACCTAGTGCATAGGAAAAGGAAGAAAAGCCGCCATTGAATTGGTGCTTACCATAGCCTTTCCTGCACAATGAGTTGTGAGGTACTTATTGTTCTTATTTTCAATGGGAAGAGAGTTTCCAGAGGCCATGTAACTTGCCCAGAGTCACAGCTGTTACGTGGCAGAGCCTGGATTGAAACTTGGCCTTTGTTCTTTCTCCACATGTTAAGATCAGGTATGACTTTTAACCTCTCCATTTCAAGGCTTCTAACATTCATGAACACGTGTAATTTTTAAAATCTCTTTTGTGCTATCATCGTGGAGCATGTTTTCAAAGTTGGTGAGTTGATGTTGGGTGTGGGGGATGATACCGGGTAACTTGGATGATCTCTCTACACATGAATGTTTGGTCCCTCCTAAAGCACTTCTCTTTCCCATGCCATGAATTTTCTAACTTATGCTCTTTTTACTGAAATAACACTTTCTCATGTTCTGCAACTCTATGAAACCTCACTCTTCATTTAACTGTTTCTGGAATGCACCATATTTGTCTTATTTCTCATATAAATAAGTGTCAGGAGAAAGTTTTTCATTTTTTTTAAAACAATGTACAGTCACTTGTTAATGGCAATCCATTTCAACGTGTACTTGACAATCAAGTTTGCCTTTAGTCCAAATGTGGATCCCGTGCCCAGTTCTGAGATTATGGAGTTCTCCTACTTGATGTCCATTTTTATATAACATCTCAATTTCACATCTGAACCACTCTAGGTTTTTGAGTAGGGCAGTATTAGTGCTGCATCTCCAATCTGTTTACGAAGTCTTGAATTTAGCAGCAAAATAGCAGTATTTCCAAAACTTCCATTAAAAAATTTCTTGATTATTTTCAGAAACGCTATTAATCTAATCAAGTAAATGCATTCATCAGAATTTTGTTTCACTTTAGGTGATGTTCACTAAGAACAAATTTTATTTTGGAATTTCATTTTGATGCTGGACCTGATATCAGTTCCCCTACGTTAAACCCAGCATATATGGGGTTAAAACCAAAAGCACTCATCCTCTTTCCCTGCTTCTCTAAGTTACATTCATTTGTAAATACCAGTGTTTTAATCCTTTGTATCCCTGAACTTCACAAGGCAAATAGAAGCCACAGATTGTTGGAGCCCAGGTGCCCTCATGCTAACATTTTGGCTAGTTACAGGTCCTGTGAAGTTTTGTTACAGGGAAACTGATAGCCAGAGAATATCTGGAAGCTAAAGCATCTCGGACCTCAACTCCTTGGCTTCCTGGCGCCAGGCTACACCATCCACCACGGAGACAGACAACCAAGGACACCCACCTTTGATTCCCTTATCTCGTGATCCTCCTTCCTGCCAGCTGAACCACAAGGCCAAATGCAGGCTGGTGGAAAATCACCAACCAGCAAGGCCACAGGCTCCCTCCCTACAAGCAGCCACATGCCTCACAACCTTTAAAACCTCTTGCCTCCCATCTTTCGGGGAGATGGGACAAATTTGAGAGCTCTTGTCTCCCTGTTGACACCACCCGAAATAAACACTCTTTCCTTGCCATAAACCTGGTGTTCCGGTATTATTTGGCCCGTCTTGTGTGGCAGGTAAAGAACCTGGGTATGTATCCAGTAACAATTAGAAGTTTAAGCCTGATGAAAAATAGACCATATGTTGAGTCTCAGTTTCTCCCCTAAAATTTGTGTCTACCCTATAAGGCTGCTGAACTGCTGTAGAGTTCCACTGTTTTCTTTGCATTCACCTGCTGAATAAAGTATATATAATTGGGGTAATGTTAAATGTCACCGTTCCAGAGTCTCTTGCAGACATAATGTCAAAATATAAAACAAAACATCATAGTTTACAAAGGCATGTCACCTGAATGCTGGAATGTTAGATGATTATACATTTAGTGTTAATCTAACGATGGGAATTATAAATATTAAAACTCTTTCCAATTTGATTTCCAATTAACACACAAAATGCTTTACTAATATTCTCTTTGGGCTAGTTAGAAGTTAAATTATTCAATGGACAATTTCTTAAGAAAGCAAGAAGTAGATTTCTTATATGAGAAGAACAGAAAAAAATTCTTGAGAAGTTCTGCCTATATAGCAAAGCTTCTGATTGTTATAGTAAATTAGTAGGAAACATGCTGAGTCTTTTACTCATGCTGTAACTGTAATTAGGTCATAATGTGCTGTGCTTAGTTTAATTTTATACATCTTCCTTTTAGTGTAAATGGTATTTCATTGATTATGATAGTAAGTCAGTATATTTCTTCAACATTATACTTTGTTTGTAATTTAAAAAGTATATTATATAAAACAAGACTAATTTTTCAATCAGACATTATATTTACAAAATTTTACTCTTTATTCAATATATTAAAGAATCTAATTTTCATCTCAGGAACTTCGGTTTCTTCATGGGAATACTTTTGATTCATTATACTAAAGAAATTGAAAATCAAATGAGGAATGGAAAAATTTCTGTCTGAAGACACACTATTCTTGCCTCCTGTTCATTTTCCTTGGCTAGATTGTTTAAGTTTCATTCTTTTCAAGATAAAATAAATATGGAATTTCCATAACTTTCTCAATGTAATAGTTAAGTGAGCATTAAATGGTATACTTGTGTATATGTGTTGCGTGCCTATATTTTAAATAATTATATTAAATGTTTTTCTTTAAATATTCTTTTTAAAATTTATTAACAGTGTTTTTTATGGTCAAAATCATTTTCATGATGCATAGAATGGAAACCAGGTAAAAATATAAATAAACCTAATTCACTTACATATATTCATATGCATAATCAAATAATACATTTGAGTGAAATTGCCTGAGTTGTTTATACTTTATTAAGATGCAACAATTTGAATTCTACGTAACTTTACCAAATATCAACTACATTGTAGTTGATGGTATGATATTTCAAACCTATGCATAGATATTCATTTAAGTGTTCTCTAGTTTCTTCTTGTAATTCTTCTTTTATTGAATAAATACTTATAGCTATTTCATATTTAAATATGTATTTCAAATCTATGACAAGTTTCTACGATAATTGATTTTACCTCTTGAACATTTTCTGTATGAATTTAAACTCTTTTCCTGATATACGGGCACGAAGCCCAAACTTACTTGCTGTACATATTAGCGCCAGTAAATGTTGGTGTTACGGATGATATCAATTAAAATAAAGGTTTGCAATCTAAAGCAAATATAACAACAATGAAATGAAAAACAAACACATTTTAATCTCAGTTTTCTTGCCAAGTGGGGGAAAAGTCTGCTAAAGAGAAACAAATACCTCCAAGCTCATTTTTGTGTCTGAGTGAACAGTAAGATATCCTTCCATTTGAGCAGTTAGAGGTACAACTGAATCCTCTGGAGAGGTGCTGCTCTGTCAATATTATTGGCTGCAAACAACTCTCCATCCTGGATACAATTCTCCCTTTACATTTGAATTGGAGGAACTTGTATCCAGCACGTATTATGTGTTAGACAATGTGTCAAGTACTTTATTCACACTATTTCATTCAATTCTCATACAACCTCTGCTGGATACATACTGTCATACCAATTTATGGATTAGGAAGCTGAGGCCAGAGAATAATCGCCCAAGTTCACATTAGCAGGATGTAAGTGGTGAATCCAGGTCAGCCTGACTCCCAGGCTCTTTGACAATACCCTCTCACAGTTGGAAAGGAAATGTATCAACTCACAAAACTTACCTGTAATCATAAACTTTGTCCATTGGACAAACACTTTCATGACAATTACCTAAGTTATACTTAAGTCCTTTATGTACACAAAGCCAAATCGTATTACAGTATTTGCACAATGTTGTCTATGCTGTTCTTTGCCACAAAGATTTGTTTTAAAATCTCTCCTAAGTATTCTACGTCCAATACTCATCACATTCCTGTTTTTCCTAAACTTTCTTAACTATTATTCCAATTTAATTTCTTCTTGCCTTCCGTCACGTACCTTGTAAAATTCCATTCTTCTGATGCCTACCTGTGCCAAGTTTTATTCCATCACCGAAGAGATTGGTATAATAATTCCACAGTGATCAACCCGTATCAAACACCTTGGAATAATTTAGCTTCTCTGGGTACTTCAAATTCTAGGGAACTATGATGGCCTGTAACTTAAGAGACCAGGGTTCTGGTCCTGGTGTATTTTGCTCACAACAAATTCTGTGGCTGAGAAATCAAGTAAATGAAAGGATTTGGTGCTTTATTTGTTTGAAAACGATGATGTTAGTGTAAATCAATTCAACATCCCTTTCAGAGCTGAAGTGAGACTAAAATGAAACAGTATCTGAAAAGTTATTTAAATAAAAATTCCATAGAAATAGAGATTTTAATCATTATTATGGTCGTTATTATCATTGTCATTATTTTTAACTATTTGTTTGTGATGATTGCATGCTCCAAAAAGACATTTTAATCTCCTGGGACCCAACCATGCCCTTACTAATAGGGATTCAGTATTTTGGGGTAGCAATTAGATCCGTGGCAAGTAAGCGTGAAGATGTGTTACTTCATTTGCCTTCCACTTTGCTCTAACATACCTGGAATTCTCAAAGCCATAATCACAGGAAACGTGCCTTGCACACACCCAGTTAATAGGTAATCATTGTCTTGTCTTATCCGCTGCATTCACAGTGATAAGAAAATTAAAGGGAACATTAGCTAAAGCCTGATAACACGCAGTTAGTATATGGAACTGCTTCACTCGTGTTGTCCAAAACAAATGGCTCTTTTCCCTAATTAACAGCACAACCTATTTGCATTCCGAGTTTTCACCAGAAATTTCAGCCTCAAACTGACATCTTTCCAGCTCACGTGGAAAGTTCAACTTGAAACTTCTGGCAGCGGGCCTTCAAGGTAGAATGACTAGAGAGATGGCAGGATGCCTGTCCTCAAA